TAGGGGTGCCACCTCCTATGTAGTGGATGGAGAGGAGAAAAGAGAGTGAAGGGACACTATGGCATATGCTGCCTGGGGCCTGTGCCTTCCCAATATCTATTCTCCCTTTTGCTGTACTAGCAGAGCCACCTTTTTTTTGGGGGGGGGGGGGGATGGAAGGAGCAACAAGCCCTGTGGAAAATGCTCATTAATCCATACTTCATCTGATCAGTTCTGGTGAAGCAGGTATCTATCAACAGCACATTCTAACATTGCTTTCTGTGAAAGTTACTGCTTTTCTGTAAAACAGAAATCAGCTAGCACTTGCCTTTTTCCTTTACTTTTTCCCTTCTTTCTGCCTAAACTGGAATCATCTACTGGCAGAGGTAGAGCGTTGATACTGTGGGTGTAAGACTGACAACTCCATGCTGAAGATGGCAGAGCAGAAAGATAGAGAGAGCTGGTGCCATTCGAGATCTGACATTAATACTGAATTTTCCACCTTTTTACTTTTTATGTGAAAAAATATGAAGCCCTATTTGGTTAAGCTACGTTTCTATTCCATGTGTCCAAGTGTAATCCTAATAAATAAGGAGAATAAACTTACTAAAATAGAAGAATAAACCTACCTTTTGCGGAAAATACCATATGGCCTGAGACTGGCACTACATGGTAGTGGGTACACACACAGCCCTATGCCACGTGCTTCCACTGTGAGGCGTTATTCTGTTCCCTGTGGTGACTCTACATGGGCACAGACCCACCCTTATAATTTCACAAAGAATATCGTTCAGCAATGACATTACAACAGGGGTTAACAAACCACAGCCAGCCAAATCTGTCCTCCGCCTTGTTTTTGTACAGACTATAAGCTGAGAATGTGTGTTCTATTTTAAAGCATTTAAAACACAAGAATAATATTCAACAGAGATCACGTGGTGACTCTACATGGGCACAGACCCACCCGTATAATTTCACAAAGAATATAGTTCAGCAATGACATTACAACAGGGGTTAACAAACCACAGCCAGCCAAATCTGTCCTCCGCCTTGTTTCTGTACAGACTATAAGCTGAGAATGTGCGTTCTATTTTAAAGCATTTAAAACACAAGAATAATATTCAACAGAGATCACATGGATTCATGAAATCTAAAATATTTACCACCGGGTTCTGTATAGAAAAAGTTTGCTGGTTCCTGCAGAAGGGCAGGGCAGAGTCAATGTGCAAATTATCACAACTTTCCAAGTTGCGATTACCCTCTTATAAGGCCATTTTTATTCTCCTTTGCTGGCCAGTGAGTCATCTATCGAAAATATGATCTAAAATTAATGTGCCCGCTAAATAATTTTCTGACTGGGGAGTAGAATAGGGTAACAGGAAGGAAGGAGACATCACAGCACCGATATAGTTCTGGCTTAAAAAGAAAGAACCAGTTTAAAGTACATTAAATTCAATTTCCCAGAAAATATCATACATCAGCTGGAGCTGATTGTTGGAAAGGAATTATCATTAAGCATTCAACAGAAACTCCTAGAAGGAATTAAATGTTGAACACTTCGAAATAAAAGTGCCTTTCAAGAAAATTTTCCAGCCACAGGTGGTCCCAAGCTTTCATTTCACAAATAACTGTCCCCACTTTCCATTTAAATTCTTGTCACACACAACTCGAGACTAACACCCGAACTGAAAGCCGAGTTGAAGGATGGTGATTTGATTTCCCTGATTTTCTATTCTCATGTCCTCATAGGACTTGAAGATGATTAACTATTTATTTAGACACTTGAAGTTACTTCAAATAATGTGGAGAAAACTAGACTTTCATTTTTAATATAAGGCTAAAGAATACTTTCTCATATTGAATGGTAAGTTATAAATTACGAAAGTTAACCATTTTCATATTTTAGAAACCTCGTCTTGGTTGTTCTGTATGCGGGTTTATTTTCTAAGCATTTCAGTCATCAGCATTTCACAACAAAAGCTTTTCTTCTTCCTTGACAATATCCCCTTTTATTCCTGTAAGAATTTTGTCATCATTCCAGAGCTTTTACAATGTTGTAATAAATTCCATGTTGTATTGGTTTTCTTATCATATTAAAGGCGAAGTGGATTTAGGAAAAATAAGTGTATTGCTTCAACTGTTTTCATCTAATATTTTGTAGATACACGTACTTCCAACCAAAATGTATAACATACATTTGTTCATAATCTGAGCACAAAATCACCCTTCCTAAGAATCAGTTTTTATAGTTTTAGATTTCTAGTATTTATCTTTCACATTGAATGTGTACATTAATGTCATAAAATTTTGCAATTATTTTATGGATATCAGTGATGACTGAATATGAATGATGTAAAACAACACATTATAAAGCACTACGATTAGAAAAATGGTAATTGTGAACATCTGTGTTGAGGAATTTAAAATTCAAAAGTCTTATATGTTTTATAAAGGGTTTTTTCTATGCTTGTCCAGATTTCAACTGGTATTATCTGAAACCATTGATGGGAAATAAGCTAATTATATGTAGATCCAAATATGTTGTCCAGATTAAATGCCCAGGTAGAAAAATAGTTATTTCTCTGTCTTTGTTATATGGCTACATTGATATAACAATAGTTTTAGTGTTTCCTTTAAGGATATTCAGCAATTTTGATTTTTGAGAACAGAATAAGAATGGCCAAAATAAAGAAATACTTTTAAATCTAATTCATAAAATGTTATTGGAGAAGAAAATAGCTGTATACTTAAAAGCTGATAAAAATGTCTTGAGTAGGTAAGAATTTCATTTTTTAAAATGAGCAGAAAAACTTATTTTTTTTTAACCCACATGCGATTTCTAATTTGAGGCCTCAGTCTGCTGAAGCCCCTAATCTCTGAATTGAAGGACCCACCTTTTCCAAAAACCAAGGTGGTGTCTATTTTATGGGCAGGGTGGATATTCAAAATATTTAAGAACATTGTGATGGAGATACTGATCATTCAGAGCAAATGTCCAATCAGTCAGTTGTCAAACACAACTCTGGTCCACTGATGTGGCCTTGCTGGGTACCAGCCATGCTCTAGAAGCAGGAATTTAGCGAAGGCGGTTAGCAGGGTATTTGTCATTTACACAATTTGACATTTATTCTAAGGTTTTCTCTCCCAGGGCTTTAGTTTTG